CGGGTCTGTGAGGGCTTTGCTTCCTCCTGCTGGAGCTGGGGTGGGGAAGTTATGTCGTGGAGAGGGGCTGTCTAGTCTCTGGAGACATCTTTAAACGTGGGGTCCCACCTGAGAGTCAGGAGCTGCTCAAGAAAGGAGGTGACTTGCCCATGACTGAGCCAGCACTGTGGGAGCAGACCTGAAATTCAGCATTGGTATAGGGCTTGCTCTGTTCCAGCCCCTGGAGATGCAGGGCCTGGGGTGTAAAAATGAGCCCCGGCTTCAGTCTTGCGGGGCAGACAGGCAAGTGGGTAACAAAGCAGCGTGCACAGGCTGCTGGGAAAGCAAAAGAGAGGTGGAGTCCCTCAAGGCCCCCTACCAGGCAGCTGTGTCCCAAGTGGGGAGACACCTGTAGGGCTGAGGAGGATGTAAGCACACGGGCGCGTTCACATTGTGGGGGTGAGGGAAGAAATCAGCACTGTGCTAGTGACTGTGAGGTGGGGGCTCCCACAGGCCAGCCTTGTCGCAAAGGCCATTTGAACTGAGGCCTGAAGAATGGGGCAGAGGCAGCTAGGTAAAGGGCCATGAGGGGCAGACTTAGAGGCAACAGGAGATGCCAAGGGCCTGAGGTGACAAGTTTTGGGATGGCTAGAAAATGGGGCTAATAATCCCTACCTTTAGGAGTCAGCTATTATAATCACCATGTTGCATAACGAGTGTTCCTCAAACTCAGCGGGTGAGGGCAGAACCTGTATCCGTTCTCACACTCACGGGGTTAAACCCTCCAACTGCAGTTGGGCTAATCCAGGACAGGTGTGGCTGCACCTCTCTGCTTGGGGCTGGGGGTAACCTGGGTTTGACTGAGTTCAGATGTGATCTACCTGTGTTTGCCCTGGGACCCAGGCTGAAGGCTTTCTGGAGGAAGCTCTCTTACCCTGGGTTTCTGGACAGCATGCAAGGAACCAAACCGTGCCAGGGAATCACATGCTTCTGTTTATGTTCTGTCTACTGACGTCCCATTGGCCGAAGCAAGTCATGTGGGGAAGCCCCACTCTGGCGTGGGGAAGCACCTTCTGGGGGAGTGTGAATATTTGCTGAGTAATAGTCACTCTCACCCACCACCTCAGAGGGTTAGGATGAGAGGTGTTGGCACTGGAATGAGCACATGGTAGTAAATACTCAGTAAGGAGTGTTTAAGGAGGAGGATGTAAGGACAGGCCATGTCCCAAGGGCCTTGAGAAGCCATGTGGAAGTTCAGATTTTCCCCCGAGGACAGTGGGAGCTGCTGAAGCTTTGATCAGGTGGGCGACATGGTTTGATTTGGATTTCGGAGTGACCTCTCTGGAAGCCAAGTCGAGGATGGTCTGATGGAGGTGAGACTTAGGGTCAGCTCGGGCCTGGGGTGAGAAGCAGGAAATGGGTGGGATGGGTCAGGAAATTTCAGGAAAATGGGGTCTGGAGCGTAAAGAGATGGGGTGGCCATGTGGGGGGAGTGATGCCTAGGATGAGTCCCTGGTTAGTGGCTGGGTGACAGGGACACGGTGTTGGAATCCGCAAGCTGAGGAGCACAGGGGGCAGCGCAGGTGGCTGCAGGGGGCAGGCATGTGGTGCGCTGGGCAGGATGACATGTCGGACGGGAGGTTCACACAGGACCTTCAGGGAAAAGTGCACCTCTTGGAGTGTGGGAGAATCTGGGCGTGGCAGTCATATCAGCTGAAGGGGAGGCAGTGAGGGGGCCACAGTCATCCCAGTTGCCAGGGGGTGGAAATATGCTCTGTCCAGAGGCATGTAATACGTGGCCAACATTGCTAGTTGCTTGGAGCACTCCATTCTCACATTCTTCTTCCAAACTGAACCCTGAAATTATTTGAAGGTAGTAGTGCTCAAGTGAAAGACTCCAGCCCCCACCTTCGTGTCTGGCCAATGAGTTGTAAGTAGGCTGCTCTGTGTTCTGGGAAAGCTCCTTGGAGTGTGGGGCCATGCCTTTCCCTTTCTCTGTCTCACAGCCTGGTAGTCAGATGCGATAGCTGGAGCTCTAGCAGCCACTTTGGACTCGGAAGCTGAGGGCCACATCTTAGGCGGCTGTGGTGAGCAGGAAGGAGGCTGCATCTCGGACACCTTCATGGAGGTCCTATACCAGCTCTGGGCTGCCTTTTACATAGAAACAAAACTTCTCTCTTGTTGAAGCCACTGTTGTATTTTTCTGTTACATTCAGCTGAACTTAGTCCAAATGAAAACATTATGTTTCTGTTTCTGCGGTATGTGGTCAGTCTGCAGCCTTGCACCTGAGTGCATTTCCAGTCCCTGCTGTGTTCATCTGAGAATAAACCTCAGCTGCCTTGATGGCGCTGATGGCTACGGTGTGCTGCGCCACCTGGTGGACACATGGCCGACAGCATTCCTCTCGCCAACCTCCCAACACAGAAGCTGGCCGGCGGCCTGCACCCCGGCTGGCTCATTTGACCTCGGCCCCAAGTCATCTTTTAGCAGGCGACACAATGAGTGCTCCAGAGCCCTGAATGTCAGTGGGCCTCTGAAAACACCAAGAATTCCCAACCTTCTTCAGCTTCGCAGCCCAGGCATGCTCCCAGAACCCAGCGGGGGCTGCTTAGCTACCCCTGTCAGTGGGGCGACCCCTCCCCCAGCGTGAGAATTTCTGGACTAAATAGAGGGCTCCATGTGACCTCTCATTCCGCAGTCTTTGCTTTTAGAGCAATGGTTAAAGCAGGAGAGGAGAGGGGGAGATGGCTCACTGCCTGGCTGAGCCGGAAATGAACGCCAAGGGAGGCTGACCTGGCAGCAGCCTGCAGCAGAGGGATGCGGGGAAGGAGGGGGCTGTGGGAGCCCCGGGCAAAGGGCGCTCGCGTGGGCGGATTTACTAGTCTCCTTCTGCTGACTGCCGGCACGAGCCCAAATGGCCAACAATGTCAAAAGCAGAGTTCAGACATCAAAAAACAAGCCTTGGAGTCTTAGAAATTCCAGAGCTTTGCTGGAAGGCCCCCTGCCCTTGGGCACACAGGTCACTCCCGGTCTCCCGCCGACAGTGTGACTGGTGCCAGTCTTCCCTCTCTGGGCTCCACTCTGTACCAAGTGGCCGGATCACCTTTCAGCGCCGACACTGTGTCACCACGGTGGCCTTTGTAATTAGCGTGGCCCTAAGTGGCTAAGGTGAGACAGTGGGGAGAAGCCCAGAAGAGCAGAAAGGTGACTTCCCCAGCTTGTGCCTCAGCACCCAAATGAAACACCTGCCTTTTCCGCGGCATGTGTCTGGGGAGGTCCGTGCCACACGGGCAGTGGCGGGGTTCAGCAGGTTGACGTCTGGCCTTGGTTTCTCCCTGAAAGACTGGGGTGAGGTGGGAGGAGAGCCAGAGGGCAACAGACTGGCCCCAGGGCAAGGGCACTGGAGCAGTGGGTATTGAGAAGATAGAGCAGACAGAGGAAACGAGATCTGGGGGGCATGAAATGCACCCCAGTCAGGAAGCTGTGCACCACACGGCTTGGAGGAGGGACCGAGTCAGCTGTCACCCAAAGGCCAGAGAAACTGGGTCTCAGGGTATTTGTGCAGCATTTACCCCCAGCTCCGGCCCTTGGGCTGCCGGACTAAAGTCCTACTTCCCTGGGATCAGAACCCAGACACCTGGAAGCCCTTGATTTGTGACTCTTCATACTTTTTATACTTAGAATGACAAAAATGAAATAACTCTTAAAGAAATCCTAGTACCTGTTGGCTCTGAGTCAGGGGTTTCTGTGCACCAGGCAAGGTGGTTGTGTTTTCTCAAGCTCCCCTAGTGCTGCGGCCCTGCCTTAGTGTCCACCCCTCCTGAAAGGCCACCACCTGCAATGGGGTCTGGGTTCCCCAGTGTCCTAGCGTCCCCTTTCTTAGGCCAGCAATCTGGTTCTCCCGTGGCTTTCTCTGTCTGCATAGGCACCGGGAGCTGTTTGCCTGGAGGGTGGGGGGGGAATGCAATGGAGCTTACCTGTTGGGATCTTGGTGGTCCTCTGCAAGGAGGGACCCCTCTCAGAGCCCAGCCCCTTGCTTCTCCTGCCACTGCCCCCCACCCCAGCTTTGCCAAGCCTGGTATGGGGGTTATCTGCCAGCTTTTCTTTGGCCCCATCCTGGGGAAATGCATAGGCCCCGCCACCCCTTCCCAGGGTCTGCGCCTCTGCCAGGGCTGGGTGGTGGAGGTGTGTATAACAGGGGTCTCCCTCTTGGGCACATTCACCACCTCTGCGAACCGAATACACAGAGAAATGTGCAGGCAGCGCTGAGGGTGTCGCTGCCCCTATATTCTGGGTCTGTGAGTTGCCAGAGGACCACCAGCCACATGGGAGGCAAATTACAGGACACAGCCATGACATGGGTGGGGCACTCTGACCACCCCAAAAAGTATGGTCGGGGGTCCTCCTCCTGGAGATTAACCCCACGGATTTTGGGTCCAGACCACTCTGGCATTGTCTGAGCACCACTGGTCCTGTTTCCTGGGGGCCACCATGGCTATTGGCCAATTTACTGAACAATCTGAGCTTGGTGAGGTGCAAGGTGGAGATGGAGGTCCCCCCCCCCCGTCCACCTGCTGCATTTAGCCTGCTGTGCTGATGCTGAGACCCTTCCTTACCCTCCCCTCCTCTGTTCCATCTCTGGGGACAGGCCTGTGTCTCCCGGGCTGCTGGTCCCGCAGTGGGCGGCCAGGGAGGCGGGGCCGGCGGGGAGGGGGCGGGTCTGACTCTGCCTCCTCCTCGGGTCGCAGACAGGCGCACAGGGGCCCACTTCCCCCGCGGAATCTGTTCCCTGGTCTGGGAGCGCCTCTTTCCTCTCTGCCCCCTGGTCCTGGGCTGGAAGTGTTTCCTGCTAGCGCATCTCTGGAATGCCTGGACGCTGCCAGCTTCTTAGCACCCTCATCGCCAGGCAACAATTCCCTGAATTCAGGGGTCCTTGTGTGACGTACCCCAGGGTTTCTGTTCCCACTACCCATGTCCAGCTGGGCCTTCCATCCTGCCCTTGATGACCCTGGGAGCTGACTCTATCATCGCTTTTTAATTATGTCATTAAACAGCCACATTAAATAACTTTGAAACATCTGACATCCAATTCAAAGTTTTCCTCTGCTCCCAGTCCAGTCTGAGCCCCTGTCCAAGGGTCCTGGCCTGGGGACGGTCAGGGTCGCTGGCTCTCCCCCCCTGCTCCTCTGCTCAGGCTCCCGTGAGCCAGGCAGGGGTGGGAAGTGATGGAGGAAAGCCGTCCTTGGGCTCTGGACGCCAGGTGGCAGTGGGGGAAGCCTGTTCAGTCGATGACCAGGCGGGTGGTCTCCTTTTGGGTCGGGGGCGTGTCTGGAGCAGCAGCACACGGAGCTGAGCCTGGTGCGTGGGGAGGGCTGACTGTCCATCCCTCTGGCTTCTAGGAAGTGTGAGTTGGAGGCAGGGAGCCCTTCACGTGGGCCTGTAGGTTCCATTGTAGCTGAATGTGGGGGGCACCAAGCAGTCCTGGTCCTCCTTGGGGATCCAGCGTTGGACATAGTTGGGGCCATTGTCCCGGGGCCACACAATCACGGTGTCTCTGGAGGCCAGGGAGGGGTCCTCTGGGAAGAAATTGAAGGGCCGGAGCAGGAAGCCCACGGAGTTTCCTGGAGTGGCCGTGTTGGGGATGTCCTCGGAGTGGGGGATGTGCAGGAAGCCCACTGTGACCCAAGCCACCAAGTCCTGTGGGAGAGAGGGGGACTGTGCTGAGGGCCAAGGGGTGCGGTGGGCAAGCCCCCAGCTCCACTGTGAAGGAATGGGCACCTCTAGACTACTGAGCCTGCTCTCCACACCCTCCTAGGACTGGCACAGATCCTGGGATTGGACTGGGGCTGGAAGAAGGCAGGGCCCCTACCTCGTTTTCAATGTTCTCATTGTTGTGAAGAAACTCCTCAAAGACCACAGGTGGGTCCCAGGGGTTGTTCTGGTTATAGATGCTGCTGCTGAATAGCTCGGACTCCCGGTACTTGGTCACCGCCAAGGGGTACCTGCCCGGGCAGAGAAACCAGGTGGCTCTGGGTGCTGGGGGCCTCCCAGCCCCTCCCAGGAGTGTCTTGGGAAAAGCTCCTGCCTTCCCTCAAAGGTGAGACCAGGCCCTGGGCGTTGGCCTGAGGTCCCCATGCACAGCACGCTCTCCTCCCCAGGCAGGGCCACGCACCCAGAACACACACACACATGTATGACAAGCACGCACACACCTAGATGCTCCACCACATGGACTCAAGATCTTAAAGCCAGAAACAGACACACGGACACAGGGAGACTCAGGGACCTTGAGGGAGCCTCTAGCCCTGCAGCCTCCAGGAACCCCTCACCTGGCCCAGGTGACAGCCTGCTCCTCCTGCCAGCCTGGGGGCAGCACTTGATGGGCCATGGAGTGGATCTGCAGGCGGTAGCTGCGCTGGTGGCCCCAGGGGTTCTCCTTGGGGCTGGTGAAAAGCAGGTACTGGGGCAGCGTCTGTTTGAAGCGGAAGGCCGCCTGGCGCTCCCGGGAGAACTGTGTCTGCTCCAAGGTCGGCTGGACGATGCGGTGTCCTGGACTCCAGGGGTTCGTGATGTTTTCCAGCTTCATCTGCAGGGTCTGGAAGCTATTCTTGGTGCCTACAGGTGTGCAGGGAAGAGAATGGGAGCCAAGCCCCCTAAACGGAAGCATCCTCCTCTGCACTGGCATCTCCACCCAGATCACACCCAACAGCAAACCTTCTGGGGTGAAGACGGGGTTGGGGTATGCGCTGAGCTAGCCATAGGGTGGAAGGAAGGGATCAAAAACAGAGAACCACAGAGGAACTCGAGGAGGTGGTCGGGCGGCTGCATGCCTCCGGGCAGCGGATCCTGAGGGCTGAGCCCCCAGCCTGTGTGCTGCTGCTGTGCCCTGGAGAAGGGACTGCTCACCTTGCTTAGGCGGAGACTGGGTCTAGCACCCTCTGTACCCACCAGGTAAATGGGGCTGAGCAGGGGAAGCCACCCATCTGGTCCTGGGAGCCTGTTCTGACACGTGACTTGATGCCAGGCCAAGTTCTGTTCATTCCGCCCATACCATGTTTTGTGGTGACATCATGAATCCAAGAGACACAATGAGCACTCTTGGAGGACACTGCGTCCACTTCATGGTGCCACCCAGTGCCCGCTTACACCCCCCTGGCCCACATACACCTTTCCACCCCTCTAGGGGGTCAACCAGCACCGGGGCAAGGATAGGGTCCTTACCCCCCTCACCCCCAGGCACTAGCCCCTGTCCCTGTTTTCAGGGCACACAGATTTCCAGCACTGCAGGTTTCACAGCTACACAGATTCTCCTGGTTTGCTGCCTCCAGGGGAGTTTTCACACATCTCCAGAGAGTGTAGGTCATTGCGTGGATTCCAGTGTTTGGCCGGGAAGGTCCTCCCCAGCCCAGTCCTACCTGCCACGTCCAGGTCAATGCGGTAATGCACCAAGTGGGTGTGAATGTTGCCGATCAGGTGCGTGTGCAGGCGGGTGCCATAGCGCAGCCCCTCGGGGGTGTAGAAGGTAGCATGCACATAGCCGGTGGCATGCATCTTGGCCTCCATCACCCCATTGGGGTAGAAGATGAAGTCCCAAATATAGTCGTAATTGTAGACCGTTGATGTAGTTCGCAGCACCAGCACCTGTCCCTTGAGACCCGCATAGAAGTTGAAGCCACCGCTGAAGTTGGAATCAAAGTGCCGCCGAAGGGGCACCCCAGTGGGCATCTCAAAGAGGCAGAGGGCCCGGGGGTAGCGCACAGGGCCATCAGCATCGTAATAGTGGAAGGCATCCAGGTAGGTGGCTGTGTCTGGGCAGTCGATGCCAGGGGCTAACTCGTAAGTGGTGCTGCCCAAGCCCCAGCCCACGTCCATGTATTTGGTCTGCATGCCTGCAGGTGTGTGTCCCCCATACAGTGCTATGGCCTCTTGCACGCTCACCTCATAGGCTATGCGCTCACCCGCAAAGTGCACATTCAGGACCTGCAGCCCGGAGGAGGAGCGCAGCCTGAAGGCAAAGCTCCAGCCCCCGTAGAGCACGGTGTTGCCCTGCAGTTTGTAGCGGGGGCCTTGGGGCTGGACCAGGCGGGGGCCGTTCGCAGTGATGGGAGGGGTGAAGTGCCCACGTGGTGTGTAGGAGGAGAAGAGGGGTGGCTCCTCGAGGCTCTCTTCCTCCTCCTTGCCCTTGGGAAGTGGGTCCTGCAGGGCCACCACGTCCACTTCTCCTGCCTCATACTTCTGTGCCAGTTCTTCCGCGCTTTGGTAGAACCTCCCGTTGTACCAGACCCGCATCACCGTCCAGTCCCGGGCGTTCGTGCTTCCGTGATCCACGAGGAGCTCCAACCCAGTGGGGTGCAAGAAGAAGCCTTCTATGAAGCGCTGCAAGATGAACCAAGAGCGGCGCTGGCCAGAGGCCACGCCCCGGGGTGCCACATCTGTGAAAGTCAGGCATCGGGAGTGGCAGTCCTGGAACGAGAAGCCTGTGGTGTCAAGGAAAAACCGGTGCAGCGGCTTGGTGGCCTCCTGCAGGGTGTGGCTCAGGAGGGCGTACTCTGCCAAGGAGATTGGCCTGGAGGCCCAGGCAGCCTCATACCCCGGCTTGGGGGACAGCTCTCGCATGTAGTAAGCCCACGGCAGGGGCCCCACCGCAAACTCAGTGATGTTAGGGTGCTCCTGGGCTCCGAAGAAGATGACGACTCGTGCCTCCCTAGCGGGACGCCTTTGACCTTTATCCAGAAACCTCAGCACATTTTGCTTCTTGGGCAACAGCATCTCAATGAGGAAAACACAGTTCTTGGCCATGGTCAGTGCTCGGGAGGACTCCAGGTTCAGCTCCTTCCGGGACCAGAGGAAGTTGTGCACAGCCTTCAGCTCCTGGACGCTGAGGTCCGCAAACACCTCTGCTCGCCTGTGTGGGGTCCGTGGGGAGTGCTCGGCCGCAGCCAGTGTCTGCAGCACCAGGACGGCAGCGAGGGCCCAGCCGAGGGCCAGGGTCTCTTGCCCCATGGCTCTGGAATGCAATAGAAGGGATGCACTTGGTTGTTTTATGGTAGAAGAGAATGGGTCTCCACCAGGCCGGGGCCGTGGACCGCAGGGTCAGCCCTGCGGTTCTCCTACAGACTGAGCTTCAGGGAGAGAGGATGAGCAGGCGGAGCACAGGGGATTTTCAGGATGGTGACAACACTCGGGGTGACACTGTAACGATGGACACATGACATTGTGCATGTGTCCAAACCCACAGAATGTTCAACAGCAAGCAGGAGCCCTGCGTGGACTGTGGACTGTGGACTGGGGTGATCACAGTGAGTCACTGTAGGTGCCCAGATGGTAACACATGTCCCTGTGTGGTGGGGTGCTGGTAGAGGGGGGAGGGGGGGAGGGGGTGTCTGTGTTGGTGATGGGCATATGGGAAATCTCCCTTGCCCCACCCCTGGTTGAGGCAGTCCCGGGTGGCACCTGGGGCCACACACAGTTCCCAAAGCTGTTCAGGTCTGTGCTCTCTCTTCTCGCTTGTCCATAGACCTCTTACAGTCCTGTGTATTTTCTTACCTATGTAAACTTATTTTACCATTTTCTGTGTATTTTCTCAGCAGGGCAGAACCTGGGCTCTTATCTCTCCACCTCTGTATTTCTCAGCCTCTTGTGTTGACAGCAAAGCTGTGTTTTTGATATAGCACTATTTTTTATGTGGATACATTTTGAAATTGAGTGTGGAAGTTCAGTGTTGACTCTGGTGTCAGGCTGCCTGGGTTCGAGTCCTTGTGCATCCTACCACCGGGACCGATGGTGTGCCCTTGAGCCAGTTGCATTTGCTGAACTGTACAATGAAAATAACAACCACAGTACGTACTTGCCAGGACTGTTGCAAGAAATCAATTGGACAATAAGGATAAAGTGTTCAGAACAACTCCCACCTTGCAGGAGGCACTCGAGAAATGCTAGCTGCTCTTTAAAGTCACCCATGAAGATACAGTCTGTGATACCAGCATTTAGAAATTTAAACAATGGAGAATGATTCAGCTGTGATCAGGCTGTAGACCTGTGGCTTTGAGGACGAGGACTGGGTGGCCGGTCCTCCCACAGGCCCCTGTGGCCCCTCTGGTGGGGCACTCAGGTTGTGACCCTCCAAGGGGCCCCTCAGGGTGGGATCATCCCAGGCAGAGATCAGGGAGACACCCTCTACCCTTCCATTTTGGGGGATGGTGTGGTCAGGGTCTTCACCTTATTATCCCGCCCCCAGAGCTGCCAATGACTCCCCTCCGAGTTGCCTGCCTGTCCCCTGGCCCTGGGGGAGGCCCTGGGACTCACATGACCCATGCTCCCCAGTCTGAAGGGAGTGGGTGAGGCGGAGGGGCTGCTGGGCGAGTCCAGAGCCAGCAGAAGGGTGTGGGGGTGAGCTCTTATTTACTAGTGAATTTTGGTCAAGACTTATTTTCTAAAAAATAGATTTTACTTTTTAGAGCAGTTCTAGGTTCATAGCAAAATTGAACAGAAGGTGCAGAGATTTCCCATATAACCATTTCCAACACAGACACCCCTCAACCCCTGCCCACCTCTACCAGCACCCCACCACACAGGGACATGCATTACCATCTGGGCACCTACAGTGACCCACTGTGATCACCCCAGTGCACAGCCACATGAGGGCTCCCACTTGCTGTTGAACATTCTGTGGGTTTGGACACAAGCACAATGTCATGTGTCCATCGTTAGAGTGTCACCCCAAGTATTGTCACCATCCTAAAAATCCCCTGTGCTCCGCCTGCTCATCCTCTCTCCCCCAAACCCTGGGAACCACTGACCTTTGGGCTGTTTGCAGAATGTCCTGCAGTTGGAATCAGGGTTTGCAGCCCTTGCAGGCTGGCTTCTCTGGCTCAGTAAAATGCATTTCAGCTCCTCCACATCCTTTCATGGCCAGACCCCCTTTTTGGTAACCTCTTATCACCAAATTTCTTTCCGCTTTGCTTAAGAGGGAGATGTGGAAGGGACCTGTGGCCCTTTTAACCTGAACTTGGCTATTCCTTTAACCATTTCCTTCCCTAGTATGATCCTCTGTTCTGATTCCAAGTGGGCAGCAGGTGAGGGGGACAGTGGCAGTGAAGCCACAGAAGGGGGACCTTGGTGGCCAGCGAGACCTCCATGCTGGGCACTGTGAAGCATGCCCTCTCCACCTGCTTCTTATCTCTGGCACTCTGAGGAGAATGGCATCCATCCCCTTGCTTTGCCCATCTCGCCCCAGGCAGTTTATGCCTGCCTCCCAGAGAGCCCTGGGCGACTCCCTCTGGGCTCCTGCCGCTCACACACACCCTTCTTCCCTTGCTGCCCTCCCCTCCCTGGTCACCCCTCTGGACGCTCCCTGAAAACCCCTCCAGAACATACCTGTGTGCTGTGCTCTGGGCTCTCTCTGCCGCCAGCCTTGGTCTCCGACTCCTCTGGAGCTTTATTACTGGACCCCACCCTTAAGGGAGGAACAGGGCGAGGCACGCCGACCCAGGTGGGGACCTAAGGCTCAGGGGTTCCCGCAGGGGGCAGGGGCAGCGGCCTGCCGAAGTGCATGGGACTCCGGCTGCTGCAGCTCCTGGTACCCCTTCAAGGACACACGTTTGGAAAGCCTCCAGGCCTGCAGCACGTCAGCGGCCAGGGGCCACTTGTGTTGTCCGCAGTCTGTTGCCCTGTCATTCTTCCTGCCGCACAGCAGCTTCCACAGAGCTGTCTGCTGTGCTGTCTGCTCCGAGCTGGGCAATGCCATGACCTGCGACGGCAGCTGGTGTCTCAGAGGCTGGGGATAAGGACGAGGAGACATTTACTAATAAGCCTCACCTGGAACAGTCATGGACAAAGGCAGGGGCTGGCAGAGACTGACACCAACATCAAAAATAGAGAATTGACCCATCTGTAGAATTGGGAACCAGAGACAGGATAGCTTGGGGGAGAGAAGCCACTGAGTTGGGACTCCAGAAGTAGTCTTACAAGCCACCTCCGAGACCCTGACTGCACCTGGAAAGGAGGGAGAAGCTGGCTGGGGAGAAAGCGGTCAGGGTGGCTGAGGCGCTGGCCCATCTGGTAGGGGAAGAGAAGGTGGTGGCGGGGCGGGGGAGGTCCCCGTGTAGGGGGGGTGGGTAGGTAGATGCAGGGCAGCAAGCTCCTGGTCCGGGGGAAAGAATCGTCAGGCTAGTGTGTGCGGCTCAGAAGCAGCAAGAGGACATTGTCCCTCTGACCACCAAGCCTTGATTGCTTGTTCTTTTGTTATGACTTCTGCATTTCTCATCATTGTCTGTCTGCTACTTGTATTGCAAGGAAGGTCGGTGTTCACTGGCAGGTAGATGAAGGTCGGAGAGAATGCGTCAGCCTGCCGCTTGTTGGCAGTGTGGGTCCAAGGCCGGGGATTACCTTGAAATGCTGAAATGACTGATGACGACTTCCCTCCCACCTTCCCCTTGATGGTCTGAAGGTTTGTGAGTTGGTGAGTCTCAGTGATGGGCTCACCAAGTCCGCAGGGACTTGAGGCTGGATCCCAAGAGAGTTCTAGGAACAACTGGACACCGAGAAGCACAGTCTGTTTCTGTTTCACAAAGGACATTGTAACCAAGTTAACGAAGGGAGGAAAGATTGGGAGAAGATCGTTCTGAAGATTAAAAAGGAAAGGGACCACATGTGTAAAAGAATGAAGTTTGACCCTTAGCTCACACCAAACACAAAGATTAATTCAAAATTATCAAAGACCGAAATGTAAACCCAAAACGATAAAACTCTTCAAAGAAAACATAGGAGTAAATGTTCATGACCTTGATTTTGGCAAGGGATTTTCAGCTGTGACCCTAAAGCACAAACAACTGAAGAAAAAAATAGGCAGATGGGGCTTGATCAAAATGATCAACTTTCATACTTCAAGAAGTACCATTAAGAAAGTAAAAAGATGACCCATAGAATAGGAGAAAATACTTGCAAATCACCTATCTGATAAGGCACTTCTCTGTAGACTGTATAAAGAACTCTTGCAAATCAATAATAAAAGAGTAAGGATCAATTAAAAAATGGGTAAAGGATCTGCATAGATATTTCTCCAAAGAAGCACACAAATGGCCAATAAGCACATGAAAAAATGCTCAACGTCATTGGCCATCAAGGATATGTAAATAAAAATCACAAGGAGGTATTACTTCATACCCACTAGGTTGGCTAGAATCAAAAAGTCAGGCAGCAAGGGTTGGTGAGGATGTGGGGAAATCAGAGCTCCCATACACTGCTGATGGGAGTGTAAATAGTGTAGCCACTTTGGAAAGTGGTCTGGCAGGTCCTCAAACGATTAAACATGGAATTACCATATGACCCAGCAATTCCACTCCTAGGTAAACCCCCAAGAGAAATGAAAACATATGTGTCAACACAGAAACTTGTACACAAATGTTTGTAGCAGTGTTATTCGTAACAGCTAAAAGCTGGAAGCCACACAAATGTCCATCAAATGATGAATGGATAAACAAAATTAATATATCCGCACAATGGGATGTTACTAGACTGACACCAACATCAAAAATAGAGAATTGACCCATCTGTAGAATTGGGAACCAGAGACAGGATAGCTTGGGGGAGAGAAGCCACTGAGTTGGGACTCCAGAAGTAGTCTTACAAGCCACCTCCGAGACCCTGACTGCACCTGGAAAGGAGGGAGAAGCTGGCTGGGGAGAAAGCGGTCAGGGTGGCTGAGGCGCTGGCCCATCTGGTAGGGGAAGAGAAGGTGGTGGCGGGGCGGGGGAGGTCCCCGTGTAGGGGGGGTGGGTAGGTAGATGCAGGGCAGCAAGCTCCTGGTCCGGGGGAAAGAATCGTCAGGCTAGTGTGTGCGGCTCAGAAGCAGCAAGAGGACATTGTCCCTCTGACCACCAAGCCTTGATTGCTTGTTCTTTTGTTATGACTTCTGCATTTCTCATCATTGTCTGTCTGCTACTTGTATTGCAAGGAAGGTCGGTGTTCACTGGCAGGTAGATGAAGGTCGGAGAGAATGCGTCAGCCTGCCGCTTGTTGGCAGTGTGGGTCCAAGGCCGGGGATTACCTTGAAATGCTGAAATGACTGATGACGACTTCCCTCCCACCTTCCCCTTGATGGTCTGAAGGTTTGTGAGTTGGTGAGTCTCAGTGATGGGCTCACCAAGTCCGCAGGGACTTGAGGCTGGATCCCAAGAGAGTTCTAGGAACAACTGGACACCGAGAAGCACAGTCTGTTTCTGTTTCACAAAGGACATTGTAACCAAGTTAACGAAGGGAGGACAGATTGGGAGAAGATCGTTCTGAAGATTAAAAAGGAAAGGGACCACATGTGTAAAAGAATGAAGTTTGACCCTTAGCTCACACCAAACACAAAGATTAATTCAAAATTATCAAAGACCGAAATGTAAACCCAAAACGATAAAACTCTTCAAAGAAAACATAGGAGTAAATGTTCATGACCTTGATTTTGGCAAGGGATTTTCAGCTGTGACCCTAAAGCACAAACAACTGAAGAAAAAAATAGGCAGATGGGGCTTGATCAAAATGATCAACTTTCATACTTCAAGAAGTACCATTAAGAAAGTAAAAAGATGACCCATAGAATAGGAGAAAATACTTGCAAATCACCTATCTGATAAGGCACTTCTCTGTAGACTGTATAAAGAACTCTTGCAAATCAATAATAAAAGAGTAAGGATCAATTAAAAAATGGGTAAAGGATCTGCATAGATATTTCTCCAAAGAAGCACACAAATGGCCAATAAGCACATGAAAAAATGCTCAACGTCATTGGCCATCAAGGATATGTAAATAAAAATCACAAGGAGGTATTACTTCATACCCACTAGGTTGGCTAGAATCAAAAAGTCAGGCAGCAAGGGTTGGTGAGGATGTGGGGAAATCAGAGCTCCCATACACTGCTGATGGGAGTGTAAATAGTGTAGCCACTTTGGAAAGTGGTCTGGCAGGTCCTCAAACGATTAAACATGGAATTACCATATGACCCAGCAATTCCACTCCTAGGTAAACACCCAAGAGAAATGAAAACATATGTGTCAACACAGAAACTTGTACACAAATGTTTGTAGCAGTGTTATTCGTAACAGCTAAAAGCTGGAAGCCACACAAATGTCCATCAAATGATGAATGGATAAACAACATTAATATATCCGCACAATGGGATGTTACTTGGCATTAAAAGGAAATGAAGTCCTGGCACATGCTACAATATGGTTGAACCTTAAAAACATGAGGCTAAATGAAAGGTACCAGTTAAAAAAAAAAAGAGTCCCATTATTATATGACTCCATTTAAATTAAGTGTCCGGAAAAGGCGAGTTGATAGAGACAGAAAGTAGATTCTCCTGTGGTCGCCAGCATGGGTGTGGGTAGGAGGTGCCTGCTGCTGGGTATGAAGTGGGATGAAGATGTTCTGAAATGGACTGTGGTACAGGTTTCACACATCTGTGAATATTCCAGAATCCATTGAGTTATCTACAGGCGAACTGCATGGTATGTGAATATCTCAAGAAAGTGGTTTTTTAAAATAAAGTGAGAGACTATCTGTCGAATTCACAAGGAACTCCTACAAATCAGCCAGAAAGAGGACGCACTCCCAGTGGGGACACAAGCGAAGAGTCTGAAAGCGACTTAGAGGAGAGGAACGCAAAGGGCTCAAGGGCACCCAGGAGGGGGCCAGATGCCTATTAGGACAGCGCAAATCATCTCACGACCACATGTGATTTCACATCCATTGCTGGCTGAGGGAGAGAGCTGAACGATGCCACATGTTGGCAGACACACGGGGAAAGAGACCGCAAGCAAGCCTTGTGGGTTGGGGATGCAGGTAACAGCTGTTCTGGAGAGTTGTCCCTGGCGCATGGGCATGAGATAGTTGTAATGCTGCTTCCTGGTATATATGTCAAAGAGACCCTCATGCAGATCCATGGAACGGGACGCAGACACGCACTGTTGTGGAGATGGAGAGCTGGCGGCCATCTGGGTGACTGCCACCCTGTGAGCGAACTGCTGACAGGCAGTCATGCGCACTGTGGAGTGCTGTGTAACTGGTGGATGCAGAGGAGCTGGGTGTCCACACAGCAGCTCGCTGGAGTGGATCTTAACATAGGAAGAAGCCGGATGAACGGTAGAGCACAGTACCGTTACACAAACTACCTGATGCGTTTTCAAGAATAGGTGCAAATACAGGATATATTAATACATTAGCACGATTGTCAGGGAAGGGTGGAAGTGGGAACACACGTACCCACATGCAGACGCTCACTGTACACATACACACACACACGTGTATGCATGTGCACACAAGGAAGGTAAGAGTGAGCCCTTGGCCTACGGTGATCATGTCCTACACTGAGGCACATGCTTAACTCCATAAATGAGAGGGAGGCCTGAGAAGGGGGAGCAGCTGCTCCTTCGCGCCCCAGGTGGAGATGGCCTGGGGGGCCAGGACCACAGCAGGGCCCCTCTTGGGGATGAAGGCAGGGAGAT